TATATATATATATATATTTATTTATTTAAAAGCAACATATCTAATTTTCATTTAAATTTTTTTTTTAAATGTTAATTTTAGTTTCATTTTTAGTAATTCTATGTGCATTTGTTATTTTTATTTTTTATGTATCTATTTAATTTTAATGTATATTTAAATCAGTTTTATTTTTAGTGATTTTAGCACTTAAACTTAGACATAATTATTTCAGTTTTGTTATTTATTATTCATTTTATTATTATTATTATTTCATACTTTTTTCCATTTTAATTTTAAAGTTTTAGTAATTTACTTTTGTGCTTTTATCATTTTTATTTAATTAATATTTATATTTGAGAAATGTTTGTATTTCAACATAAATGTAATTATTTTAGTTAGCTGCTAAGGCATAAATTGTAATTCTTTACTGGAAAATGTATACATTTTGTTTCATTTAATATGTTTATGTAATTTAATTTCAGCTTTTTTAAGTAACAAAACAAAACTTTTTTTTTTAGTTTTAGTTTTAGTTTACAGTAATAACACTGGAGCTGGTTGCATAAACGGCTTAGATTAGTTTTAATTAAATTACATTAAAAATTAATTAAAAATTAAATTAAATTAAGTTTTTTTCTTAAGGACTGTTCGGAACGTTGGTCTAATTTAAATCTGAAAATTAAGACTGATGTCTAAGACTTTGACACAATCTTAACATGATGGCTATGTGTATGCAACTGGTTACACAATCAAACTTTTTTGCTACGTCTTAGAATTTAGCTTTGATTGAATATACACTTGAAAATCAAATAGTTATACTAAACTCAACAAGAAACGAGCTGCTGTGTGAATCCCCTGAATGAACCCTGCAGCCACTTTCACACATGCAGACTGTGTTATGAAGCATGTTGATCATAAATCTGCTGCTGAATGACAATACCGTCAGAAGAGCGACATCTAAGATGAGATTTAGTCTTTTTTTGGGTGGTCTCATTTCATTAGAATAGCAATTAGGACAGCGCTGGCACTCGATAAGTTGACCCGCCGAACGCAGATGTAGGACACAGACAGAAATAGACAAGACGCTTTCTCCTCAAGTGCTTCGTCATGCTTTGCATGCTCCAAAACATGAATTCAAACAGTTTACTAGCATAACAACCAGTGTTAATGAAGATCTGAAGGACACTGGTGACCTATCAAACACGGTATAAACACAGGCCCATAACCTTTTGGAGAAACGTTTCGAGAGCGAAAACCAGAGCAGATAAACCTCTCAGCCACTCGCTTCAGCCGGAGGAAAAACAGACGCGTTCACATCCATCTCCTCCGACCAAACCGCAGGCTATAGCTTATGCAGAGCAGCTTCAGTTTCTCAAGATCCTGATGTATTGATTGCAGCTTTGAGACGCTGCTTTCAAACTCAAGACACTAGTTCAACTACAGTCAGATTACACTTTTAAAATGTCAAACCAAACCTATTTAAAGGTGACATATCATGAAAATCTGACTTTTCCAGGTTTTAAGTGCTATAATCAGGTCCCCGTTGCATCTACCAACCAAGGAAACGTGAAAAAGATTAACTCAGCAACTTTGTTTTGGGAAGCCTTTTTCTGCAAGCGTCTGAGAAAACGAGCGCGTTTGATTTTGCTCACTTGGTGACGTGGCAAAGGGATCTCATTATAATATTAATCTGTAAGTTTCCACCCACTGCGCCGTCA